CTTTCCCTCTAGTTGATATCGTCCAGATCTTCATCTTCCTCCTTCATATCACAGGGGGCTCAGAGTAAAACATTCCCATTTCAGAGACTGAGCTTTCTTTGAGATTATCTTCACTTCTTCAATCACGTGAATCTCAGATATCGCTGTGAACACTACTGACAGATTTTACAACTATGTAATGTTGTAACGTTTCTCATATTGATTTTCACTTCATTAACAATAAGCACTTTATTTTTATAACTTAATTTGCACTGTGAAAACTTTACTGCAGAATTGTGTGTGTGTACTAAAAGAGCTACACTGTGATTTGTTAAATATTATTTAGCTTGTAACTTGAAGGTAAATAAAATGACAAACTGTTAGCCAATGTATTTTTACAAAGTGCTTATGATTTCATAAATGTAGGTAAACAGTGTCCATATTTTTGGCAGTCATAAATGCAGTCAAACTTACAGCAGAAAAACACTCAGACAAATAACATTGTTAATTTATTGTGCATGTGCGGTTTAAATTATTTGTTATAATTCTCAAAAAAGGAACATATGTCAGTAGAAAAACCCTACATGTAAAGTGTGATTTTAATAACGCGTGATCTGAATGTTACCAGTTAAACATTGATTCCCTTCATTGATTTTGGTTGGACAGTTCAACCAAAACATAATCATTTATTCTCCCTCATGTGTTTTTAAACATTTATAATTGTCTTTTTTTTTTTTTTTCTTGAACACAAAAGAAGATATTTTGAAGTATGCGACTTCCATAGCAGGAAAAAGAAATGACTATAGCATACTTCAAAATATCTTCTTTTTTGTTCAACAAAAGAAAGACAATTATAAACGTTTAAGAACACATGAGAGAAAAAAATGTCAGAATTTTACATTTTAGGTGAACTATCACCTTTAAGTACATTATTTAATCTAACATCCTGCTGTGTCTGCTGACAAGTATTATAAAACTGGCTTCATTTTTGTGGGTTAAACATCATGGCACTTCCAGATCCCTGATGGCTGGTGTCCTAGAGGTTCTACTGTTTGAGGCGGATGGCAGATGCGAGACCGATCGGCTGCTTTATTGCTTATGGAGTGAGGCGTTTGGGATCACGAGGGAACATGGAGGTCTGGCGTACATTGTGTAGGCCGAGATAAAGCATGGTCACTCTTTCAAGACCTAAGAGATGAAAAAAGACATACAAGAGGTCGATTTAGCACTGAAATTACTCCAAATTTTATCGCTTAAAAGGGCTCCTTTGTTACTAAAACTATTCTACTAAGTTTCAAAAATGGCTGGTTTGGATTTGAGGAGATTTGTACGGATACCTGAAAGAGACGTGATAGTGGTGAAAAAAAAACAGAGTAATAGGTAAACATATTTTTGAAAGTTTTTGCATTCTCTCGCAAAGATGTTTTGCGTTCCCTCGCAAAACTGTTGTTCGACAAACACTTCACTTCATACATGACAATCCTCCCGTTTTTGCTGGGATTGTTCCGTATTTTACTATTATATCCTATTATTAGATATTTTCCCATATTTCATAATTTTAATCTTGAAAGTATACTGAAATTAATATAAAAATGTCGGCATTCACTTTCTTTCCATTAAAGCTGTGCGTCAATCAGCACCCCTCATATGCAACCTCTGAATCAGTGAATGCATGTATAAGCGCTCTGACAGCATGTATAAAAGGATTTAAAGCAGGACATCAGCAAAAAAAAAAAAAAAAAAAAGTAAAAATTCATTGTAATCACTGATTATTCATCGATACAGTTTATGGAAATCAGGTAAGTGTCTGATGTACTGTAAACGTTTGAGCTACTGCCAACAACAGGGCAAGCGACAGAACAAAGGGAAAAAGTTTAAAAAGTTTCCAAAAAATTGATTCTAGCAAGTTTCAAAAATGGTTGGTTTAGATTTGAGGGGATTTGTGATGTCACAGAACCGGTTATATTTGCATAAGACTATCTTTAGAGCAAGACATCAGCAAATAATTGTTTTATTGAACAATAGGCCATGCCTACTGGTGTTCAGTTACTTGATCTGACATACAGTAATAATGCCAAGTTAAAAAATAAACAAAAAAGAAGGCATTGTAACCACCGAGAGGGTCTGCATTGGATACAGTTTACAGAAATCATTTCAATTACTGATGTGCTGTAAATGTTTGAGCTACTGCAGACAACAAGACAACTGGCAGAATAAATGGAATCACTTAATTTATTTGGAGTTTAATCTTTCTTTGTTAAAAGTTGGTGGTTTATTTTTAATGGCATCACTTCGGATGTGGCCCAGCTCCAGTTTTGAGATTGCGAGTTACATTCCAAGTGTGCCAGAAAAAAAGTTTTAAATACAAAATATGTGTGATCAATTGTTTAGTTATCATTAGTCACTCACTTAATAATGTTGAAAACGCATGTTTTTTTTTCAGTGTGAACCCAGGATGGAGATTAAAGTAATGGAGAAAACACACAGCTCATCATATAAATATACAGTAGTATTTGCTTTGAATGCATGTAATGTTTACAATAATTGCAACAAAGAGGCCATGCTCAAGTGGTGGGAGTTTAAGTGTACAAACTAGGAGTTTAATCGCACAACATTATTTATTAATGTACTCTGTCTGATCTTCTAAAAACAGAAAATATACAGTCCTTAACTGCACCGGTTTCTGGTTGTTTATTTATATACTAAACAGTCTGCATAATAAAACAGAAAAATCCCAATGGGGACACTTTTAAAAATTTTCTTTTAATTCTTTCTTTCTTTCTTTCTTTCTTTCTTGCTTTCTTGCTTCCTTTCTGTCCATCTATCCGTCTGTCTGTATATCATCTTATTTCTTACAGTTATTTTATTTATTCATTTTTTATGGTTTAATTATCATCCTTTACAATAGCATTGCTTTAATAGGAGATTCACTTCCCATTTATGTTTAGTTAACTGGTGGACTGGGACCTTCAGCCTGGACAGACTATTGTGCATGGTTTTAGATACATGACAATAGATATTTTCAACAAAAAAAATAAAGGTTTGGTTGAACAATAGGTGCATGTATGCAGCTATATTTAGCTTGTTTTTTTTTGTTTGTTTTGTTTTTCAGATAATTAATTTGTATCTAAGAATTAATTTGTTAATTTATTTTTTATATAGCCAGAAAAAAAATAGGTAAATCCCTTGTGTTTAGTCCTGACAAGTCATGTGAAATAAGAACTAATTCCAATGCAACACCGTGAAGCCATAACCCATTTGCTTATCCTCATTGAGCAAGGTCATACACAACACACAAAAAAGTCAAATAAATGAGGAGGGGTGTTGAAATAACAAAAAAAAACAAATCGATTAATTTTAGCAAGTCAAAGTTAAATTTATGCATATAAAATATACTTTCCCAACAACAAAACTGTGGCTAGTGATCAAAAAGTTAATGTCAAGCCCTATATATACAGCTGAAGTCAGAATTATTTGCCCCCCTTTGAATTTTTTCTTCTTTTTTTAAATACTTCCCAAATGATGTTTAACAGGGCAAGGAAATTTTCACAGTATGTCTAATAATATTTTTTTTCTTCTGGAGAAAGTCTTATTTGTTTTATTTCGGCTAGAATAAAAGCAGTTATTATTTTTTTAAACACCATTTTAAGGTCAAAATTATTAGCCCCTTCAAGCTAATTTTTGTTTCGATAGTCTACAGAACAAACCATCGTAATACAATAACTTGCCTAATTCCCCTAACCAGCCTAGTTAACCTAATTAACCTAGTTATGCCTTTAAATGTCACTTTAAGCTGCATAGAAGTGTCTTGAAAAATATCTAGTCAAAAATTATTTAGTGTCATCAAGACAAAGATAAAATAAATCAATTACTAGACATGAGTTATTAAAACTATTATGTTTAGATATGCGTTAAAAAAAAAATTTGCTCTCCGTTAAACAACAATTGGGGAAAAAAATAAACAGGGGGTCTAATAATTTAGGGGGCAAATAATTCTGACTTCAACTGTATATATATGAAAAAGGGTAACAATTTTTTTTTACAATTGCTGATTTTAAACATATCAAGAGTTTCCTGTCGATATGCTGTAACTATTTTGAATAGGAGATTAAAACTGCTATATATATTTTTTTTGCAATAGGCTAAAATAAAACAAAAAATCTATAGGCTAAACCTGCCTTGGTTTAACAAAGCTATAGCAAATAAAAATCATAAACATGACAAATGTACTTAAAGTTATTGATAATTAAACACTGCATCATTAGTGTTGGTATTTAATCAGACACTTGCACTTAACATTACATGATAATCAATCTCAAATCATCTAGACTAAGTCAAGTAAATGAACATGTGTTTTGTCTGTCAAAAGAAAGGCAATATATGATTTTTTTTTGGTGAAGTATTCTTTTTATCATTTTACAACCTTGATTTAATAAAGGAAAAGAGTTTTATGCATTTAAAATAACATGCATTGTTAGCTTTTAAAGCATAGTTGGTTTAAAATAGTGTGAAAATGCAAATATGTTTATATATGGTCAATATTTTCAAAACAAATTCTCACATTTTACCATCAACAATGCTGAAAACAAGTGTGCTGATCAACATTTTAAAACCTATTTGCTTTTCATGACTCTTTATTTAAGTTTTTTTTTTTTTATTATTAAAGTAACAATAAATAAGTAAACAATAATTTAAAAATACTACTCTTTTGAAACCATTCCAAAAATAAAAAGAACAACAGTACCGTGATAATAATAATAATAATAGCAAAAATAAAATTAACTTCAGTACCATATTAATAATAAAAATAATAGTAAAAATAATAATAGCAAAAATAAAAGATTTAAAATATGTTACCTATGCCACCACCAGCATGAGGAGGAGCTCCATAACGGAACGAGTCAATGTAGGCCTTGATCTTCTCCAGGTCTAAAAAACAAAGCCAAAAACCCATAATCTACCAGAAAACCATTCGTATTTAACAAAAGAGGAAGTAATCTACTACGGTTACTCAGCATTTCCATGTGTTAAATATTCTCATCTAGCGAAGCATCATGTTTTAGTAGCTCTGGTGTTGTTGTGTTTACCGATGTTGTGGTGCATTGCTCTTTCAGTTAGCAGCTGAGCATCGTGGATTCTCTGAGCTCCAGACAGGATCTCCTCTCCTCTCATGAACATGTCGTAGGAGTTGGAGTATTTCTGCATGAACAATGTGTGGGGATTGATATCGTCCATATGAATTCAGAATAACAAACTATGTATGTATATTTATCAGGTCTGAAACCACGCACCAGATTGCTGGGGTCAGGCATAGTGTAGAAAGGCCTCACAGCCAGTGGATATTTGTCCAGCACATAGAAGTCAGTGTCATACTAGAATAAACATAAAGGGAAGGGGGAAAGGGGTCATTATTATTGAGCCAATTCAGTATTGATAAAAACACTATCTATTTTTATAAATTAACTTGATATGCATTTTAACTTTTATTTCAAGAAAAATCAACAATATATCCAATACAATTATTCTTATATTGAACTGTTTGGGGTCAGTAGTACTATTTTATATATATATATATATATATATATATATATATATATATATATAATTTTTTTAATAATAAAATAATGCATAATATTGAATTTCTAAACTTATACTGAGTTAGTAAACTTGCAAAAATTCTATTTTAAACAAATGTTTTTCTTTTAAAAAGTAATATTAATAAAAAATAAATAAATAAATAAATAAATAAATAAATAAAGTTTCCACAAATTATTAGCCAGTAATAACGGTTTTAAATATAAAAAAATAAATGAAAAAAAAAATCAATAATATATATTTTATTTAATAATAATAATTTAAAATTCCAATAACATTTCATAATGCTAATACTTCTACAGTACTTTCTAATATTTAATAAAAATAGTGTTTTTTTTTTTAAATATTATAATTAACACTATTACATTTTGTAGCATATTACTGATCAATTAAATGCTGCATCGTCGACTGCTCAAAAAACATAGTGAAAATGTATTATTAAACAAAGGTTTACTTTAAAACCTTAAAAAGTTAAAGGGTACTAACAATAAACACTTTAATAATCTTAAGTTCATCTTAACTGCTGTATTTACCAATGAGCCTCTAAAATCAAGACTAGCATCTTTTTAACAAACAATAAAGTTATTTTTATATACACTACCCATCAAAAGTGTTAAAATTTTTTGTTTTAAAATAAGCTTCTCCTGCTCACCAAGACTGCATTTATTTCATTAAACATACAGTACAAATTGTATTGAATTGTGAAATATTATTGCACTCGAAAACACATGTTCAAAAGTAGTTTATAATTTAATTTAATGATTTATTCCACTGATTTTAAAGATGCATTTTCAACTTCATTATAGTCTTTAGAGTCACATGATCCTTCAGAAATCACTCTAATATGAATTACTATTATTGTTATTATTATTATCAATACTATTATTATTAATGGTAATCGTAATAAAAGCACAATTGACTGGAGTAATAGTTTCATTTGAAACTACATACAATAAGTAATAAATAAATATTTATATAAAGTATTTAATTATTATTATTATAAATGGCGCCTTGAAGAGAATTTTTTCCTTATTAAAAACATGAAATAAAACGACCCCAAATTTTTGAGTAGTAGTGTACTACCATTAAAATGATTAATAAGAATAACTCACTACTCATACTTATTTAATGGTACTTACACTGTATGCATTTTCTACTGTTTTTATTTATTATTATATTTTACCACAGGAAAACTTCTCTCTGATTGGTTAACCATGTCATCCAGCAGTTTTGCTATCCCCCAATCACAACCATTAAGGCAATGACAACACAACATAAATATGAATATATAAATATGAGATGTTTTTTACCTTCTCCTTTACAAGACGACCAAGCAGCTTTTCATTGGGTGTGCTGAAAAATTAGAAGAGGAGTTGATTAGAGATCTGTCAGATATGCAAGTGTGTGTCTGAGTGTGACTTTCGAGAGACTCAGTCTCAGTCACTGACCTGAGATCTTCTTCATCTCCCATCTCCACACCAGCAGCTCTCAGCATGGCCAACCCTTCCTTGTACTCCAGCCTCAGCGTGGGCTCCAGGAACTTGAACGGCTCGCTGGGATACTGCTTATTCACCGTCTGGATCTCCGTCTGGAAGCTGGAGACCATTCAGAACACAGAGAGAGCATAAGAGAGAAGAACTTGACAGAACACACATCCAAAAATAATACTGAGTGTTTGTGTTTTAAACTCTTTTATGGTTAGAAATGATCATGATCAGAATACTTATCAGTGTTGTTTGTGAATGCTGGATATAAAAACAAATGTATGTATTCCATGTTTAAGTTTTCTTTTTTTTTTTTTTGTAACATTTACCACATGGTTAAATACTTGGAATATACAGCCTTAAAAAAAAGTTATCTTTTTTTCTGGATTTTCTGAAGATAAAGTTTAGCTATTTTTTATTTTATTTTATTAGTTAAGGGTTTGGTACACAAAAAAAAAAAAATAAAAAACCTTTGTTGCTTGTTCAAAATACTTATTTAAAATGAGTTGAAACCAAAATGTGTAGGTTATTTAGGGACAGTTTAATTATTTTATGCTCAATCCATTTAAATTTGCAAGGGACAAGATGAAGGAATTGTGTGGAACCCTGATTTTTTTTTCAGTGTAACTTGTTAATATTTGTTTTATTCCATAAAGGTCTGACTGAATTTCCTCCAAACTCAAATAATATGAAATAATTTAAAGCATTTTACCCCCTGGAAAGTAAAAATTTAAAAATATTACAAACATATTACAAAATTACAAAAATATACATCTCAAATCCCTTATTGTCACATCATCAGCAGCACTGTGTGTACTATGATAGCTGAAAAGCTTAGGTGCCGGCTCCAGACAGTGCAAATACAACGACATACTCCACAAACAAAACAATATACAACTAGCAATGTTGACAATAATTACGTAAAAGACAATAAATACGTGAACTATTTATTTTACGTTATTTTACGTTTAAATATTTGTTATTATTTGCTGTGACTAAAATTTATGGTTATTCGGGCAAATATAAATTTTTTAAAGCTCTTTTGAACATAAAACATTAATATTGTGTTGTCTGTTTTTAGACAATATAAATAACATGGTATGGTTTTATGTAAACAATATGGCTCCTTTCTGTTACTTTTTATATGAAAGACTTGTTACTACAACACATGAACTACAAATAATATTTCAGTTGGTCTCTTTTTTTTCCATACCTAGGTAAATGTTTTGAAAAGAATTCTCTTGTGTCAGCATGGCTGCATTTATTTGAACAAAACAATGCAGTAGAAATTGTAATATTGCTTGGTAAATATGTTTAGGATTTTTATATTGATTAAAAACATTTGGGCTGAGTACAATTAGCAATATCTTTAAAATATACTCTAATATTAACAGATGACTAAAAATGTACAGTAAAATAATAATACAAATATTTCTGAAGTGTTTCACAATGTCTTAATTAAAAACTTTTACTGTTTAAACCATTTCAAATGTCACTTTTTTCCAGATAAACTGTTTACATATTCAATGTAAAGACACTCCTGGAACATATTTCCATTTTGTGTACCACTTATCACACAATTCAATGAAAAGACTTGAGTTCTAAAATAATAGATGTGTAAAAATCAATAACCCCTGTCCACTAGATGGCAGTGTACACCCTTGCATTTTTAAAACTCGGAGCAGATTTTTTTCACATCAACTCAGTTTCAAGTAGAATTCATGTGACTTTATTCTCAAATGGTTTAATTCCTAATAAGATGAAATGGTACTTTGCTATTTTTTTTTTTTTTTGAGAACTTGAAAGGATTTAGTCTCTCACCGGTCACGCAGTCCTTTAAAGATCTGAACCATGGTGTCAGTAATGGAGTCGATGACCTCATGGTAATGATAACTGAAGGCCATTTCTATATCCAGACCCACAAACTCAGTGAGGTGGCGATGAGTGTTGGAGTCTTCAGCCCTGAACACTGAAAGAAACACATTGACAAACCACCATATTTACAACAACACTAATATTTCATTTACACCAAGTCCAATACATTGTTAGGCACATTACTGTTTGTAAATATAAACTGACATTTATTTTCCATAAAGCAAAATATGCAATTTACCGGTTTAAAAAAATATAATTGTACATAATATAAACTGTAATAAAATATAAATATTACATGAAACACTTTAATAAAGTAGGCATGTTGACTTGACAGCTAACTGAAATTAATGCACTTAAATGAAGGGAAACTAAAAATACTTTAAAAAGTAAAATAGCTAAATACATGTTTTTTTTTTTTTTTACTAAAATGTCCACAGGACATCAAATAAAAACTAAACTAAAAGAATATTAAAAGCTAATTGAAAATAGTGAATAAAATATTGGAATTTTTAAATAAACTAAAGGCATACTCGCACTATGTACAGTTGCCTCGAACCGTGCCAAAGCACACTTGTCCCCCCTCCCCGCTGCCCCCTGCACTCACAATGCATCTGAGCCAAAACATGCTTACGTCATTGATGATGCGCTGGTCAGTTTAACAGAAGAGTAGTGCTCTCGCTCAGCACAGAGATTTCAAACAAATCAGCCATTTTTGACGCTTATAAACAATCATAAAAGTCCTTGTGAAGCAGGAATTAAAAGGTTTGCTGAAGGTTCAGCTGTCGTGCACATTGTGCCTTTAATAAATTCCAACAGTTTGCATTCATTGAACAGTAAGAATGATTAATAAATCCATATGAAGCAGTCCCTTAAGTCACATCTTGTCTTCAGTTTTGGGCTCAGGCACGCTTTGCACTCACACTACAACCGTACCGATTCAGAGCACTCACACTTCTCTAACAATCTGGGAAACGCGCCTGGGCACGGTTCGGATAGCATAGTGTGAGTGAGCCCTAAGCTATTGGAATTTTTAAAATGTAAAAATATAAATAGTCACTAAAAACAAATACACCCCCCCACACACACACACACACACACACACACACACACACACACACACACACACACACACACACACACACACACACACACACACACACACACACACACACACACACACACACACACACACACACACACACACACACACACACACACACACACACACACACACACATATATATATATATATATATACAGTTGAAGTCAGAATTATTAGCCCCTCTGAATTACTAGCCCCCTTGTTTATTTTTATCCCCAATTTCTGTTTAACGGAGAGAAGATTTTTTCAACACATTTCTATACATAACAGTTATAATAACTCATTTCTAATAACTGATTTATTTTATCCTTGCCATGATGACAGTTAATAATATTTGACTAGATATTTTCAAGATACTTCTATGCAGCTTAAAGTAGTGGTGGGCAAACTCTGTCCTGGAGGGTCGGTGTCCTGCACAGTTTAGCTCCAACACTAATCAAACACACCTGAACATGCTAATCAGTGTCTTCAAGATCACTAGAAATCTATAAGCAGGTGTGTTTGATTAGAGTTGGAGCTAAACTATGCAGGACACTGGCCTTCCAGGACCGAGTTTGCCCACCCCTGGCTTAAAGTGACATTTAAAGCTTAACTAGGTTAATTAGGCAGGTTAGTGTAATCATGCAAGTTATTGTATAACGATGGTTTGTTCTGTAGCCAATCGAAAAAAAATATAGCTTAAAAGAGCTAATAATTTGTCCTTAAAATAGTTTTAAAAAATTAAAACTGCTTTTATTTTAGCCAAAATAAAGCAAATAAGACTTTCTTCAGAAGAAAAAATATTATCAGACATACTGTGAACATTGTCTTGCTCTGTTAAACATTGTTTGAGAAATATTTAAAAAAGAAGTAAAAAAATCAAAGAGGGGTTAATAATTCTGACTTTAACTGTATATATTATTAAAATGATATATATATATTTTTTTTGTTTAAATCAAATGCAGATTTTTTTGCAGAGAGGAAAGACAATATTTTTACACATTTTTGAATTGAGGAATATTTTTGAATAGTAATAACTATACTAGTTAGATTTAATAGCTTCTCTACTAATCTATTTATTCTTTATTGGCATGGTGACAGCACATATTACTAGTATTCAGCTAAAAGAGTCATTAAAAGGTAAATTAGGAAATCTAGGCAAGGACAACAGTGGTTTGTTTTTTAGCCAATCAAACAAAATTATAATTTCTTTAAGGAGCTAATAATATCGGAAAAAAAATTCCACCTAAACTAAAAGAAAGAAGACTTTTTCCAGAGAAGAAATATGATAAAAATACATCTCAAATAACAAAAAATTGATATAATTCAAATAACTTTAAGCTTCTACAAATAAAGAATAGCACTGCTTAGCTGTTTTAATAATATTTAAATCTATAATATGTGACCATGTTAAAATTTGAGTGTGAAATTGAACACTGAACACTTTTTCCAGTTATATAAAAAAAAAGTTAATATTTCTCATCAGTAGAGGTCCCTGATGAGCTGTTTTTCTAAACTCTACAGCCCACGCTACTGAAAGTGAGATAATCTTCCTCTGTTAAGCAACTGAATTTCCCGCCAGATGAGCAGCAGATCTGAGCATTTCTCCAGCAGCAGAACATCCTGATCTGCAGACATACTGCACTTCACCCAAAAACATAAATATGGGCATCCTTTACTTACCCTCCAATCAAACAAAGAAAAATAGATTAATTTGGAATGCAGTAAACCGGTGGCCACTGACCTGCATAGTATTTTGTTTTTTGGTTTCCAACCTTTTTCAAAATTGCCCATTTAGTCTCAGCAGAAGAAAAAACTGATAAAGCCTTGGAATCAATAGTGTGAGATTAAACCATCAGTAAAAGTAGACCATTCTCTTTCACACACATATACACTAATCCAGACAACAGACATTTTTGGGCCTGTATCTGACAGTTTTTGGATGTTCAGTAGTTTTGTTTTGCGTTTTTAAGATAACCTGAGGATGGGAAGAGCATATTGATGGGGGATAAGGAGATATACTGAGGGTGTATTTGTATGTATTTACCTGGTCCGACACAGAAGACTTTGTCAAAATCAGCACAAATACACATCTGCTTGTAGAGCTGAGGAGATTGAGCCAGATACGCACTGGTCTTGAAGTAGGAGACGGTGAAGACGTTTGCTCCACCTTCACTAGCAGCTGTTTAAAAACACACAAATACACATCTGGAATGTCACGCAATGAATCAACAACGTAAAAATAATGTAACAATTTAATAATATTATTATAACAGCAATATAGTAATGTTATGTACTGATGCATTGATAAACTGATTCACTGTCATGTTTTAAAATATGATGTCCCTTTGATTGTGACTTCACCTGTAAAATTGTATTAATATTTTAAAAATATCTTACAATTTTAAGGCAGAAACGGGCATCTGTTGAAAAGAAAATTTTATGAACTCAGTGTTAAAGTTTTTAAAAATATGTTAGGTTTATCAACACTTTTTCACTGGCCACCTAAACACACACACACACCCACACACACACAAATACTGTGACCATGAGAAATATGGTTTTCATGGTCATCATGAACATAATGTTCTCTATAGGGCACGTACATCTGGGTGTGTGTACCGGATGCCATGCGGTTTTACTGAAAGAACATGATGTTGATGTGTGGCAGATCACACCAAATAGGCGGCAAAGTTTTGAATTTAAAATGCGTCACGTAGACGGATTTGGATTGGCTGGCTGTGTTGCAGAGGAAATGAAAGTAACTGTTTTTCCTTAACAGCGAAAACCACATAAACACAACAGTGGAGCTGCTGAGAGAAAGTGTTGTAACACCCCTGAGACCATCAGTGACGCAAGACCCAGCCTTTAAAATCATTGGTGGCCTAAAAAAGCAGCATATTTAAGTGACGGGTGAAGATGTAGATCAGCATCATTTGAGCATTAAGCCACCATCTACTATGACAGCGCCCTGAAAAACAAGCTATGAATCACGCGTTTAAAAAATTATGTATAATAGAAATACAACTGCAACAAAAAGACAAGATAAAATATTTAACTATTTGTTTAAATTAAGGAAATTATTTTTAACAGATTGATCAAATTAATCTATCATATTCAATTTCATGTCAGTCCAAATTTTTTTTCTTAAAACACACTTTTTTTTCTACCTCAAAGTATAAACAAAAAAAAAACACAAAGTTTAATATAAAGATGTACATTCATAGTGTGACTTTATATGTTTGAATTTGTATTTTCTATGTTAAAAAATAGACTTTTTTGACCAAATGACTACACGAAAGCCAAAATGTTTTTTTTTTTTTTTTTTTTTTTTGTAAAGTCCTTAATGAAGTACTGTAAAATATTATAACAGTTAACATGTTGTTGTTGTTTTTTTTCTTTACGAATATACTTTAAATCGTTCTCATTCCCATTGGTGCACTGCCTAATGTTTCTGTGAAAAACATGATTTTGTTTTCAGAGTTTGATGAATACAAAGTTAAAAAAAAAAAAAAAAACATTTATTTAAAAAATATATATTTTGTAACAAATCAATAGTTTAGCAACCAAAATTCTTAAGCAATTCAAAATACAATCACTGGCCACTTTATTAGGTACACCTGTCCAACTGCTCGTTAACACAAATTTCTAATCAGCCAATCAATGCATTTAGACATGTAGACATGATCAAGACAATCTGCTGCAATTCAAACCAAGCATCAGAACGGGGAAAAACGGGGTACTTTAAGTGACTTTGAATGCGACAGTTGTTGGTGCTAGATGGGCTGGTCTGAGTATTTCAGAAACTGCTGATCTACAGGGATTTTCTTGCACAACCATTTGTAGTGTTTACAGAGAATGGTCAGAAAAAGAGAAAATGTCCAGTGAGCGGCTGTTCTGTTGGCGCAAATGGCCTTGTTGATGCCAGAGGTCAGAAGAGAATGGCCAGACTGGTTCAAGCTGATAGAAAGGCAACAGTAACTGAAATAATCACTCAACACAAGCGAGGTAAGCAGAAGAGCATCTCTGAATGCACAACACATCAAACCTTAAGGCAGATGGGCTACAGCAGAAGAAGACCACACCGGGTGCCACTCCTGTCAGCTAAGAACAGGAAACTGAGGCTACAGTTCGCACAGGCTCACCAAAAATGGACAATAGAACATTGAAAAACGTTGCCTGGTCTGATAAGTCTTAATTTCTGCTGCAACGTTTGAATGTTAGGGTCAGAATTTGATGTCAACAACATGGTGGTGGGGGATATTTTCTTGGCATACTTTGGGTCCATTAGTACCAATTGAGCATTGTGTCAATGTCACAGCCTACCGGAGTATTGTTGCTAACCACATCCATCCCTTTTTGATCACGGTATACCCATCTTCTGATGGCTACTTCCAGCACGAGAACATGCCGTGTAATAAAGCGTGAATCATCTCAGACTGGTTTCTTGAACCTGACAGTGAGTTCACTGTACACAAATGGCCTCCACAGTCACCAGACTTCAATCCAATAGAGCACCTTTGGAACGTGGTGGAACGGGAGATTCGCATCATGGATGTGCAGCCAACAAATCTGCAGCAACAGTGTGATGCTATCAGGTCAAAAAAGACTAACATTTCTGAGGAATATTTCCAGTACCTTGTCAAATCTATGCTATGAAAGATAAAGGCACTTCTGAAGGCAAAAGGGGGTCCAACCCAAAATAAATAAAATATAATGATAAAGTTTACCTAATAAAGTGGCCGGCAAGCGTATACATTTCATTCTGTGTAACAGAGCACATAAAGTTACACAGGATGAAAACAAGTGAGTGAGTGAATGACAACAACTTTCATTTTGAGATGAACTGTACTTTTAAGAGACGGGAATGCAATCAATTCTCCCGGATTTGAGTCAAGTCAACAGAAGCAGTGTGTGAACTCTTCACAGAGACAGCTGTGCTCATGAATTGCAGCAGAAGCGATAGCACTCGGTGTACCCACCATCTCACCAGTGCCAACGTCCCATCCTATCAGTGACTGGAGACGTATCTCCTTAATAAACAACACTTTTTTCCTTCAGCCAGTGTTTTGACAGTGTCGCTGTCTCTATGTTTTTTTTTTTTCCTCAGAAAATGAAAAAGTATCAATCCTTGAAATTGAAATTTTTAGAGACTGAAGGTGCCGAGAAGGAACAATAAACTAAGTTGGACAGCGTGAGCAGGAAATCATTCAGCGGAGATAAGACCTGCTCTACTCAGCCCTGCTGTCATGAATACAGATCCTCCAGTGTGAACACTATTCCCCTCGCGTCATTTTACTCGAGTCATGATGTAACGAAGGGAGCCACGGATGTCATCTTACATATCATGACATATATCTGACTGAAAAAGATCAATGATTTCAAAATACTGTTTAACGGATTATGTGAATGTTCGTCTGATTGTTAGAATCATGTGGGATTTAAAATGATAGATCAGTTGTCAGTTAAGCCTTCTTAGAGAAATCTGTTGGATCACAAAATGAACGATTTGATTTCTGGTTGAGTTGTGTTAGAAGTGTGCTACCATCATTTATAAAAAAATTCCTGTTGCTGTTACACACATTTTCTTCCAGAGATTTCCTGGTTGCCTTTTTCCCTTCCCAATAGGGCTCAAAATATTGATAGATTCAAAGTATTGATCAAATACCCGAATGTACATCTGTCTATAAAGTAGTATGTACAACTAGCCCTGAATGAATTGATAGAATTATATTATGTACTGGTGTGCTTCAGACTCAACCCTTAAACAAATTATAAACAAAAACATTAGTGAACTGCAGTATTTTTTATTATTATTATTTTTTATTATTTATTATCTGTGAATGCATTTTAACTAAACAGTAATATTTATTAATATTTCTCAGTAATATTGATATTTAGCTGAAATAAAAACATAAAATGAATGCATAAATCATATATTTAACCTAAAAAATATTTTTGTTTTGTTTTAGAGAATAACTATATAAAAACAGCTAATACAGGAATATATATATATATATATATATATATATATATATGAGTAATATCACACTCGTAGCAGTGTGATATGGCTGTATATCGGCACTGACGGGAGGCGTGTGTTGTGCCCCCACCAGTGCCAATATACAGCCATATTGCACTGCTACAAGTGTGATATTGCGTTTATACAACAGTTTGGCTGCATAATTGTGTA